GTCTCCTTAGGCAAGGAAGAGCATCCCACCGCTTGCCACCAATGTGACGGACCCCCGTACTCAGGATGAGTATGTCCGCCGCTGTCTTCTTCCTTGCTGAGGAGATATTGGAACCCGCTGATCTGTAGCTCCCAGTTTCCCCAGTCACTAGCCAAGGCTCGAGTGTAGGTGAAACAAACTCTGCTTTATTGAGAAACTGCACAAACATTTATACAGAAAGTGATCAGATCAGAATATAATCCCATCACATCCACCTTCCCCTCCCCAGAAATCCTGTCTTCACAACACCACAGGTGTCCACCTGCTAAATAGCTCCAGACAGCCATAGCATGGCCTGGCCAGAATGTCATTGTTCTGAGCTCCCTCAGAGAACAATGGGAGATAACGAGGGATGGTGCTGATAGTCTTTCCATAACCAGGTCACACAGCATAACGCACTCAAACATAACTCAACGCCAATACACATTTCACTTATAAACTGATCACCATGTCATCACACATTCAACATTTACTGACGGGGGGCGTGGCTTGGCTATGGCGGCGTGAGGAAGCACATTGCTGGAGCTCTGCTACCCCCGGGGACTATTCAGATGAACACGGCATCTTACAACCCAGTTCTTGATGTCTCAGAAAAGGAAATCCAAGTCTAACAACAGCAGGCGCTCACTGACATCGCTGCAGCGATACCTCTCAAGCCAGGCGCCATCGACCCGCAACACGCCGAGGAGGGCCATGGCTACCGAGACAGAGGGTAAGACTCAGAGGCCTACAACTCCATGCTCCCCTCGTGGTGCCCCGGCCTCACCGCCATCTCCGGATCCGGGAGTCCCCGCTATGCAGCGTGCACCCAAATCGCCACCCGATCACAGTACCATCGAGGAACCGGTTATCCGCCTCACCCCGACCCCGCAACAGACACCAGACGCGTCACCCTCCTTATCCACCAGCGAGATCTCCTCCATCCTCCTATCCCTCCCTACGCGGCAGGATATGGCCGCCCTGGTCACCAAAATGGAGGCCACGCTGAAGAGAGATATAGCAGGCATCCACAAGACGGTCTCTCACCTGGAGACAAGAGTCTCCGTTCTGACAGATGACCAGGCCCAACTGTCCCGCCGGCTAGAACGCCTGGAGTCGGACAGGTCGACATACGATTGTTCTGTGTCACCGTTGTTTATTTCAGTTACTTGCCATGATCGTAATGACTATGTTTATATTTAGGTTGGTGGTGTCAGAGGACGGCCGAGGGGTTCTCCGGGAGGGTCTTCAAAGGTACAGTGGACCGCGCCCCGAGATGTGCATCAATGTCCCGGAAAAGCGAACCATGATCCTCCGAGATCTCCACCGTCAGGGTATTGACGCAGCGCTCCTACAGGAAACACATTTCCGAATTGATCAAATCCCCCGCATGAGCGATCACCGTTACAACTGACCCCCTTTTTTGGTACGTCATCTGTATTGGTTAGATGGTTATGTACGGTTATGTACCTTAGTACGCACTTAAATCTGCTCTGTACTGCTGATAACATGTATGTGGTTCATAACTGGATTCATTTGTGGAACTGTATGTGTACAAGGCAAATACAAGGAAAAATTGCTCTTTAAATAAAGAATTTATAAAAAAAAAAAAACATTTACTGACAAGATTCATCAGACGTCATGCAAGGAGACGGACATGTCATAGCCTCTAAACTCACCTTCCAGCGCATTTCTGAAGCTGAGTAAAGAGGTTTCATTGAACGGCGGGGTGTCAAAGTTGCTCAGTTTCAGGATGTTCTCCACATCTTGGAAGGACGGCAGATTGGGAGCGTATGGAGTAGCTCCTGGCTTCCTATGAAGTCTTTCCATTTTCTGTTCCAGATCAGCCAATGGACAATATTCATCAGGGAAATTAAACCCACTGCAGACGGCCTAGAAAGAAAGTTTCAGACATGTAATAAACTAAAGGCATTTCTTATCCCGAATCGCAAAAACAATCTCCCCATATCAGTTACCAAAATTGCTGTGACTTCAACCACATTCCATTTGAAGACAAGATTTCTCAGAATTCTCAGATTTAAGGAAAAAATTTCAATGTATAAAGAAAGATTTTACATTCAAACATAACTTGGGCTAAAGTGTGTTTCCTTTATATTTGGCTGAACTTAGGCTTTGGCCACCAATACAGCGGAACTCACCTTCCAGAAAGAGAAATGGGAATATGGGTTGAGGACACCCTGAGCATCATTGGTGCCCAATAGATCATCAGTGCAGATGGAGCAGTTCTTCTCTCCTCGCCAGTCATAGTATGGAATAGCAAAGTCCTCATCTCCCGTCATCAGCTGAATTTGTCTCTCCAGGAAGAGGAGGTTTAGACGATGCCATCCGGGGAATACTGGGCCTTGATGGGCAAAGTTTTTATTTGGGTCAAATGTACTGTTTCTCAGGATGGCTTTCATAGAGTAATAATGCATCCACACAAAGACATCGTATAAAGAGGCATCTACAAAGCGATAGGTCTGGCGGTGGAATCGGTCTCCAGTACTCAGGATAACAAAGTCGCGGCTTTTTGTGGTCTTTGCCAGAGCCAAGTAACTGAATAATCTTTTCTGCTCTAAAAAGGTCAGTTCCCGCAGCTCCCGCCGCACAATCTCTTTCTTCCGCTCACATTTCTCTCCATGAAGTCCAAATTTACAGTCGCCGCAGTCAAAGCCGCTGAAGTTTCCATGGCACTCACAAGTATTTTCATAATAGTGTCTTGGCCAGTCTAGACGATCATCGTTTTGCAGAACTTCTTTCCCCGTAAAAGTCAACCAGTTTCTGCATCTTCCTCGGCCTGACAAAGAACCACAAGGACTTTTGTCCTTCCAAAGTGGACAACAACTCTTGGTGAGAAAGGCGGCTTCTGTAGTGCAGACTCGTGGGAACTGGCTGTCCACAGCAGAGAGGCAGAAAATCAGGAGGAGGATGAGGTTCAGCATGACTCCCTATGGATGGAAAGACGGACATTATCAGAGAGGGGAAAACAAACTACAGATATATTGAATATTAGATAATAATGGAGATTAAATACTTAGTAGCACCAATAGAAGACAAATAGCTTGTACAATCCATTAAATATATAGAGGAAGGGGGGGCGGCAGTGTCACTGAACTTGAGCACGGAAAGAGCAGCCACTTATATCTGACTACATAATAGTAAAAACATGAATATATTAAACCACAATGAATAGATATATAGAAACCTTCTTAGGATTGTCTAACAACTGTAATAACAATAGATATTAGTCAACTGCCAACAAAAGCTTTCCATGTCATTCAGATCCCCAGAAAGCAGCAACATTGGACAGACCTTAAGAACTGATCGCTAGATGGCTGATGCTAAATAATGTTCCAAAAGGCAAGATGATATATTTGAGTTCCTTTATAATATACATAATTATAAATGATGAAAGCTTCAAATACACAAAGGAAAGATGAAAGACGTGGTGATTGGCTTCTATTGTTACTTGTTAGTTCTTGTGATTGCGCTATACTTTGTATTCCTCTTCTCCCAAATGTGCCCCTTCCTTCTTGTTTGACTACTTCATTACATAGTACATTACATAACCCTAACCCTATATATTATTATGGATACCTGGCACCTTACTTCGTATTCAGCTATCTATAAAATGGCTGGTAATATATCTTACTAGTCCACGTCTCTGACACTTTACTAATATTAGATATTCTTAGTATTGCTGCTGTATAGTGTTTTATTACAATGATATCTATGAGTTGTTGAATGGCACTCAATGTATATGCAGTGGTCATTGTTAGGACTTTATCTTATACTTTGTATACACAGTGATTATATATAACCAGTATGTGAGCTGCCATGGGTGCAGAAAATGTCCACTTCAAAAAATATTGGAGGACTGACCAGTACCACACATCTCTGAGAGAGACAAAATGTCATTTCTAACTGGTCACCATTTTCACTTATGACTCAGTTCCTTCAGGGGCAGGCAACAAGACCCATAAGGGTTACCCTAAATCATTGGAGTAACAAATAATATCACAGTAAACATAGACATAGAACAAATTAATTTACCACAAATACATCCTATGTCATCAGTGGCTCAATGCTGAAAGGATTTGAATGGAGAATCTGGCATGAAAGAAACTGCAGTGTGGTGGGACATGGCAGGGTGGTGGTGTGGAATGAAACACTTCAAAATAGGACAGTTGCTAAAATGAATAGACATTGAGAGGATCACTGAGGACAACAATGGATTACTCCACACAAGGCTAATATTTCACTTGCAGATAGAATCAGGTGTTTGAGTATCTTACTGGAATATATATAAATATATTAAGGAGTAAGATTTCACCAACATGAATTCTTGCCACCATTCATCCCACATCTTCTGCTTCCCACCAACATACATTCTAGTAATGAAATAAAACGTAAACTTCTAGCAGGAAGATAGGTGCCTCCTCCCCATCACTAGCCCTCTGGAATAAGGCTGAATGGTTTGTAGGTTGAAGACTTCTACAGAGGCGGAAGCAGCTGATATATTTTGTCACCAGTTCCCTGCTCCTTGTCTCTTCGGGAGGCTTTGCTCAGTTTATGGCCTTTGACTATATATTAGGTCTGGAAGGTACAAAAGATTTATGAAACCATCAGGCGCTTTGCTCTCCAACATCCCCTAGAACCTAAAGTAGGTTGAATAAAGACATCAGTCCATCAAGTCCAACCTATTGTGTGTATGCATTTATGTATGTTACCTGTACCCCTGTATGTTACCTGTATGCCTGTATGTTACCTGTACCCCTGTATGTTACATGTACCCCTGTATATTATCTGTACCCCTGTATGTTACCTGTACCCCTGTATGTTACCTGTACCCCTGTATGTTACATGTACCCCTGTATATTATCTGAACCCCTGTATATTACCTGTACCCCTGTATATTACCCGTACCCCTGTATAGTACCTGTACCCCTGTATGTTACCTGTACCTCTGTATGTTACATGTACCCCTGTATGTTACCTGTACCCCTGTATGTTGTACCCCTGTATCTTACCTGTACCCCTGTATCTTACCAGTACCCCTGTATAGTACCTGTACCCCTGTATGTTACCTGTACCTCTGTATGTTACATGTACCCCTGTATGTTACCTGTACCCCTGTATGTTACCTGTACCCCTGTATGTTATGGTCTCCGAGGAACTTGGCCAGGAGTTTCTTGAATGATTCCACACTCTTAGCTGAAATCACTTCCTGCGGCAGCGAGTTCCATAATTTAACCGCTCTGACTGTGAAGAACCCCCTACGCCCCGTGTGTTGACATTTTTTTCCACCAGTTTTTGGTTGTACCCTCTGGTCTTTGTTACGGAGCTGACCGTAAACAGTTTGTTAAGATTGTTGTTGTCGCCCTTAAATAGTTTATACAGGAAAATCATGTCCCCCCTTAATCTTCTAACCTCCAACGAGAACATATTTAATTTTAACAACCTTGTCTCATAGTTCAGGTCCTCGAACCCCTTAATTAGTTTGGTTGCCCTCCGCTAGACTTTTTCCAGCTCAAGGACATCTTTTCTGAGTATCAGTGACCAAAACTGGACCGCATACTCCAGGTGAGGCCGAACCAATGATCTGTAAAGTTGCAAAATTATAGACTTGTCTCTGCAATACATTCCCTTCTTAATGCATGACAGGACCCTACTAGCTTTGTTTACAGCAGCCTGGCACTGCGCGCTGTTCTTCAATCTGCGGTCTATAATCACCCCCAAATCCTTCTCCGTTTCCGACTTCCCTAGTGGCACCCACATAAGTGTATAGTCCATTTGCCTATTTTTAACTCCAAGGTGCATTAATGTACATTTATCGACATTGAACTTCATCTGCCATACAGTTGCCCCTCCCCCGATTCTATCCAGGTCCTTCTGTAATGTTATAAAGTCTAAATCTGTGTCTATTACCCTCCCAAAGATACAAATGAAAATCGGAAGAACTATAAGTGTCAAATCATTTTTCATTATCAGAAAAGAGATTTACTTGTTATACCTGCAACCTGGACCTTCGCAGTGTCTGCAATCCTTTTGTCAGAGAATAACAATGGTGAGATGCTTGGATTTATAAGATGTTGGACTGGGAGGTGCTAGGTGTGCCGAACGTTGCCCATTCCCTCCATGAACTAGATGGAGCCTTTGGAAGCAGCTAATTGGCAATCTTAGTCATTGTTAGGAACAAGCTCATTTTAGGGAGTTATTGCTTTCTAGAAGTTTCTCTTCAAACACATTTTACTTTGTGAAGTCAGATGAAAGTTTGTATTTCCCTGGATTATTTCTTGGTTTTTATTGTGCTGCTTTGACTTGCTCTGATGATGTGTTTGACGCTCCAATTATGTGGAGAACAAGCTGAGGTAATGACTTTTATGGCTTCTTTGAGATTAAGATTTTATTACAGTGAAACTCTGATGTCTTACATTTTAAAGACTTTCCATCTCTGTACATCAATGGAGGATGTCTTCTACTCATTGATAGAAGATATGAAGGAAGATTTAGACAATGACTTTCTTTAGTGTAATATCACACAGGATATTACAGCTTACTCTTCATGACAATCTATACTTATCTGGGTTTAGGATTCTTATATGGCCAGATGTAAAGCTAGTCAGTCATTGGACAGTTTATGGCAGGCAAATTACCAATCCAATGACTGAAAGATACATCAATTGTCTTCCAACATATGTGTGAAGTGGTGACACCGCTAGTGATGACATTCAGTTTTCAGCCCATTCCAATTGGGGGGGAGGGGCGTGTTGAAATATCTGAATCTCAGGCAATACCCGATTGTCAGCCCAACTTGAAATGGATGTCTGCCGTCCTAAATATAGAAATTCTCTTTGCTATTGAAGATTCAAAGAATCATGAAAGGTATCTCAGGGAAAGAAGCCCAATGAGCCATTAGGGTCCTTCTAAAAACTATGACGGGAAAAGAATGTCAATGGTTAGAGACAAGAGACGTGAATTTCGTTTTGTTTCAAATTGACATTCAAAAGAATTTCTTTAAATTTGAACATTGGGAACAGTTTAAAAAAACTGACAGAAAAGGAAAAAGAGTTTTTAAATACTAAAAAAGGGTCTAAAAAGGAAGGGAGACAACAAGTATTCAAAAAAATGCATCCGGATTTCCAAATACCCAATTCTAATGACCAGTACGGACTAAGAGGACCAGTATGGACTAAGATGATGACCAGTATGGACTAGGATGACAAGCAGAGGGATTCCCCGGAGGCACTCTATCAGCTCATGCATTCAAAAATGTCACTTTCAGGACATACCGATTTTAAATCCAATATAGGTCTGTACTGGTCATCCTAGTCCATGAAAAAAGACGAGAGGCGGTCGCAAGCACTGCCCTGTGTGCTGACCAAAGAAGTTACTTCAGACCGTATGTAGGGAAAAATAGAAATACATTTATTGAAACATATATAAATTATGCATGAGTGGATATTGCACCATATCCCAACACCATTTTAAAATTGACAACGTTGTCATATCATTCATGTGAAAACATTCACTCCTGAGGGGTTATGCCTCGATCCACCATCTGGGGTATATTCAATACATCTGTGGATTAACTCTCGTATAGATGGAATTTATTGCTGCCCATCAGATATTTGGAAGTCAGTTCACATGAATTCATATATCATTGCGTAACGCATCCACAGGCTGTCAGCCAATCTATCGTGGAGGCTTTGTAAAGAAAAGGATATCATGGACTGATTCGTGGGCTGCCTGTATCCAATTTCCAGAAAGTCCTTTGAGCAATCACCTAATCCTGGCTTCCAGTTGATAAAAAATTATTGGTCACAAAGGTGGTTCAAATCCTTATATACCTCTATACCTCCATCCCCCACCATTGTGGATTAAAGGCAGTACATCATTATCTTGAGCAACACTTCCCACAAGCAGCGTCCCAAAATAAATTCCTAGAGGAGCTTTTGGAATTTGCTCTCAATAATAACTTTTTCCAGTTTAATGGTCAATATTACAGACAAATTAAGGGAACCTCTATGGGAGCTCCCTGGACACCAGCGTATGCCTGCCTCCACCTGGGTCTATGGGAGACTGAGGTAGTGTATGTCAATCATCTTTACCTGAGCCATACAAGGCTCTGGCTCAGGTACATTGATAACGTCATTATGATATGGGAGGGCTAACAAGAGAGCCTCGAGAACGTCATGCGAGAGCTAAACGTGAACAACAAAAATATACATATATTACACAGTAAATCAGCATGAGATCCCATTCTTGGACTTGTTAATAAGGATAGAAAATGAGGAGTTAATAACAAGTACCTTCAGAAAGGAAACAGCAGCAAACACCATCCTGCATTCCACTAGTCATCACCCAAGAACTTTGATACAAGGGATACCCACTGGTCAGTTCCTACGGGTTAAACGGAATTGCTCCTTGGCATCTGATTTTAAGAAAGAATCCAGTGAAATGTATAACAGATTCAGAGCCAGGGGATATTCCCACAGAACCCCGAGGAACAGTAAAACCAAGGTTAACAAGAGATCAAGAACAGGAAGTAATAATAAAAGAAAGGAGGAACTTTGAGGGCCCTGTCCGTATGATAACCCAATATGGCTCACAATGGGAGGAATTAAGAAAACACTGGCACATACTACATCTAAATACGACCCTGAGAGAAATAATGGGCCCATACCCCCAGCTAGTAGCCCGCAGAGCCCGCAATTTACGGGACCAACTAGTCTCCTCAGAGTATAAATCTAGCACTAGGGAGATGTCGCTGGGTGAGGAAAGAATTAAAGCTGTGGGTATGTATCCATGTGGGAGGTGCCGAAAGAAGTAAATCATTCCATACAAGTGATGGGAAGAAGAGTTACAACATAAAACAATTTATTAATTGTACAACAAGTAGGGTAATCTACCAACTGGAATGCCCATGTGGTAAATATTACATTGGCAAGACAAAAAGTCAATTACGTGTGAGATTGGGGAACACTTAAGGGATATAAACAATTTCCATAAAAAAAACAGGAAAAATTGACAGTCCCATCGCTCAACACTTCGACAAATGCCATAAAGGAAGACCGGAGGGTTCAAAAGATGAGTCCTGTCAGGTTCAGACCGCTCCGGTCTCTCCCTCCGCCGGGACGGCCACTCTGCGTTCCACGGTGGAACGCGGAAGCCACTCGACTTCCTGATTGTGAGGTGAGCGGCCTGCGTTCCACAATGGAACGCGGAAGTCGTTCGTTCCGGTCGGACGGCTCCGCCCCCCTCCTCGGGCTATTTAAAGCCCCAGCTGAGGCAGCATGGCGTTCCACAATTGGAGTCAGAACGCCTGCTGCCTCCTCTCACCCCAACAAAGCCTCCAGAGACCCCCTGGACTGTCTGGATTGGATCTCCTCCGGATTAGCCTGTTGGACCTGCACCTCGGACCCCTACCTGGACTGCCAAACGCAAGTACAGCTCCAGTTGGAGCCTTAAGCTGACATTCTGATCCTGAAGCCTTGTGTATGATACAGACTGTCTTGCATTACCCATAAACTGATACTTTTGGGGGGAACCTGCTGGCATACCTGTATCTGAGTGGCACACTGCTCCTTAAAAAGTGCAACAACTACCTTGTTTACAGTTTACCCCTTGTGACGCAAGACTATGAAGTAATAGCTCCGCTTATACCTTTTTTGTTACGTGACGGCTGTGATGAGTCCCAAACTCCCCGCTAAGATTGGAAGTGACGCCTGAGACTCAAGCCTGAGTAGCCGTCCCCACTCAACCCTCTACTACTTAAACCTTTATTGTACTTACAGCAGGCCTGACAAATGTGGATGTACAAGCTGGACACCCTGGCCCCGAAAGGACTAAATACGGAGTTTAACTTGCAAGTCTTTTTATAAGAAAGTCAAAGAGCTCCAACATTATATATTTAATCAGACAAAAACTTTTAAATTCCTATATATTCCTATGTTTTGGATATAGAAATAGCAATCCTATATAGCTGTAACCATAAGTTAGAAATTGTATTTTTGTTTTTAATGTTTATAACACACATGGGTGGTTGGTGAGAAAGGACATATGTGCAATCCACTCATCGAAATTGAAATGCAGGTGTAAAGCTGGAGGGAGTTAATAGATGAAGCAATTGAATTACCTACAAAAAGGTCACACCTCTACCCTATGATTATGTCCTGACGAAGCCCCAGGAGGAGGGGCGAAACGCGTAGACGTGTCTGTGTCTGTTTGGGTTATCCCGGACCACTGGTGAGCACACCGCTATAACATAGCCATGCTCTCTTAACAACAAAACAATGGATTAACAACTTTGCAGACTCTGGACATTCTATACAAAGGGGAAAACCGGTTAGTACCCATTAAGCACTATATGAACTACATTGTCACACTAAAAAGGAAACTTGTTACTATGAAAGCAGAAACTAGATACTTTGTGTACCTTAAATGTTGCATTTGCTATCCTACAGTATGCTGGCCCCTTTATAACCAATCCCAGGTGATCCTAAGTTGTATATGAAATCTTTTGAGCACGAGATACGGATCCAGGATATAGGTTTGAATACATGTTGGTTATTCATTCCGCCTCTAAGGAGATTGGACAGACCAAACCCACCTTGTATATCTATGATGATACTTTAATACAAACAAATTGCTCAGCGGATCAATTCGCGCTTCATATATATGTTGAATACACAACGGCATCAAAGGAGAAAGGAAAGATATAAGGTTCCTTTTGAACCACCATTGTGACCAATAATTTTTTATCAACTGAAAGCCGGGATTAGGTTAGGAGATGTACACTGGCACATTCATTGTGACTGCAAGCTATGGACTGAGATAGAACAGGAGTGGTCGAAGACACCACTTTCCTTGCTGGTGTGGCTCAGAGAAGCTCTATGGCCGCCCACCTCTTGAGACACCCTTTCATAGGGGCTACCCTGACTGTGTTTATGCGATTACCTCAGCGTCGAGTCCTTACAACCCCTCACAACATTGGTCCTCTAAGTGCCCACTCTTAGCAAAAACATTTTTTAAATCTCAGAAGTTCCAAAATTGAGCTAATCGAACATTTGACTCATGGGTCTGTACCCTGGTGGTCTTATTTTCAGATTTGGCATTACTTGATGGCTCCCGCTCAGAAAGCAAATTTTTCCAGATCCCTCATCCTTTTGGCCTGTTAAGGAGAAAGACCCTCGAGGCATCTATTTTCATGGATATATAAACTTATCAGCGGAGATAACCAGGCAAATTTACCCCCGTGAAGCAAAAATGGGAACGTGAGCGTAACATCACCATCTCTGATGATTCTTGGTCAGAGATCTGTGAAACTGCTCACAAATGTACTATTAATAATAAAATGCAAGAAACCAACTACAAATGACTAGGTGGTACAGAACACCTCACTTCCTACAGCCTATCTACCCTACCTCCTCACCTTCATGTTGGCGATGCCAAGGTGATGTGGGCTCTATTCTTCACATTTTCTGGTCACGCATTCAGACTTTTTGGTCACAGGTACACCAGATTGTACATCACGTCATGAGCTCTACTGTGCAGAAATTTACCTCGTGCACACTGGCGAGCTGATCTGGCCATGGGCCCTGGCAAACCTTTACATAGACATCTTATTAATGTGGCCTGCACGATCATACCTCGCCATTGGAAAGAGGAATACTCACCCTCAGTTGCGGAATGGATGGCTCAAGTCGCCCATGTCTATGAAATGGAGGAATTACTGTTTACTGAATTGGATAGGTTGAACCAGTTTTGGAAGCTCTGGTCATGCTGGTCATACTTCCTTCTGCCTGATCACTATGTATGTCTGAGGACACCACAAAGCACTTCTCTGTAGATCCTTTTCTTTTTCATAGGGATGCACCTTCTATTATCCCACTCTCCCTATATTCACCCGAATGTTCTCATCTCTATACATGACTTCTTCCACGCATTTCTCTTCCCTTTTCCTTCCTTTGATTATCTCTATTTTTCTTTCTGCATTCTCCTTTTCCATTCCTCTTGCTCTTTTCTCTCTCTTTTTCTTTGCCCCTTCCTGT